AAAAAAAAAAAGAACAAGTATTGTTATTTCAAAAAAGAGTTTCGTTGTGAGTGTTTCGACGCTCTAACAACTTCAAACTATAATTCCAATGACATGTAACATGAATATACAATCGTTATCAAGTAATTCGATAAAAAAGCATGAAGAAAACGTGTTTGTTGAGAAAAACAACAATAACGAATGTACATTCTTTATGGTTGTTTTTCGACCGAATCCGCCTTAAACGATCGTGCATTCGTCATATAATATATTATAAAGATGTTAAACTCGTTATAGGTCTAATTTTATTCATTTTTTCATGTAAAATAACGAATTTACAATAATTTTACATCATCTTTCCATTTTTCAAAAAAAAAAGAACAAGTATTGTTATTTCAAAAAAGAGTTTCGTTGTGAGTGTTTCGACGCTCTAACAACTTCAAACTATAATTCCAATGACATGTAACATGAATATACAATCGTTATCAAGTAATTCGATAAAAAAGCATGAAGAAAACGTGTTTGTTGAGAAAAACAACAATAACGAATGTACATTCTTTATGGTTGTTTTTCGACCGAATCCGCCTTAAACGATCGTGCATTCGTCATATAATATATTATAAAGATGTTAAACTCGTTATAGGTCTAATTTTATTCATTTTTTCATGTAAAATAACGAATTTACAATAATTTTACATCATCTTTCCATTTTTCAAAAAAAAAAGAACAAGTATTGTTATTTCAAAAAAGAGTTTCGTTGTGAGTGTTTCGACGCTCTAACAACTTCAAACTATAATTCCAATGACATGTAACATGAATATACAATCGTTATCAAGTAATTCGATAAAAAAGCATGAAGAAAACGTGTTTGTTGAGAAAAACAACAATAACGAATGTACATTCTTTATGGTTGTTTTTCGACCGAATCCGCCTTAAACGATCGTGCATTCGTCATATAATATATTATAAAGATGTTAAACTCGTTATAGGTCTAATTTTATTCATTTTTTCATGTAAAATAACGAATTTACAATAATTTTACATCATCTTTCCATTTTTCAAAAAAAAAAGAACAAGTATTGTTATTTCAAAAAAGAGTTTCGTTGTAAGTGTTTCGACGCTCCAACACCTTTACATTATCGTTCCAATGACATGTGACATGATTATACAATCGTTATCAAGTAATTCGATCAAAAAATCCATAAAGAAAGCACGTTTGCTAAGAAAAACAACCATAACGAATGTACATTCGTTATGGTTGTTTTTCGACCAAATCCGCCTTAAACGATCGTGCCTTCCTCATATAATACATTATAAACATATTAAACTTGTTATAGGTCTAATTTTAGTCATTTTTAAGTTAAAATAACGAATTTACAAAGATTTTACATGATCTAACCTTTTTTGAGAAACAAAAAAAAACAAGTATTGTTGTTTAAAAGAAAAAAGAGTTTCGTTATGAGTGTTTCGACGCTCGAACACCTACAAACTATCGTTCCAATGCCATATAACATTAATATACAATCGTTATCAAGTAATTCGATCAAGAAATCCATAAAGAAAGCGCGTTTGTTAATAAAAACAACAATAACGAATGTACATTCTTTATAACGAATGTACAGTCGTTATGGTTGTTTTTCGACAAAATCCACCTTAAACGATCATGCATTCGTCATATAATACATAATAAAAATATTAAACTCGTTATAGGTCTACTTTTAGTCATTTTTAGTGTAAAATAACGAATAAACAACGATTCTACATTATCTATGCATCTTTCAAAAACAAAAGAAAAACAAGTATTGGTGTCGTGACCTCAAAAGAAAAACAAGTATTGGGGTAGGGCCCGCGATAAAATACAACGATCCTTCATTATCAATTCATTTCCAAAAGCAAACAAGTATCATTATCTCACAAAAGAAAAATAAAATAAAATAAAATAAAACACTCGCGACAACCAGAGTGTCGCACCCGGGACAGGCCTATCGTGCCCGCGTGGTCCGCCTACGTCGCGTCCGCGAGCAACGTCGCTCCCGCGACATCCTGGACAACTTTCTGTCCAAAAATAACACCAGAGTGTCGCGCCCGTGACACCCGTCGCTCCCGCGACGACTTGGGAAGCTCTCATGCCCGACCGATCTACATTGGCTATGTCATAACGAAATTACATTCCTTATGAAATAAACATCAAATAACGGATCTACATTGACTATGAAATAATTAGATAACAAATAAATCTACATTCGTTATGAGATTTTCTTCATATAGCGAATGTACATTCGTTATGAAACTACATAACGACTGTACATTCGTTATGTACGAAAAAATTAAAAAAAAAACCTCAATGCCACAAAAACATGATAAATATGAAACCAACATGTTTATTAATAATAAAATATGAAGCAAAATGCTTTATCTCTAAAATAACAACATACCCTAGCATGCTTTAATTGTTGATCTTCCACCATCACCACATTTCTTTTGCAATATAGAATACAAAATTTATGGACATGATCATATTTTGTTCTCACCTTTTCAAGAGAAGAGAGGATGGAGCGAGAGAGATGAGCAGAGCGAGAGAGATAAGCGCGATAGGGACGAGCAGAGACAGAGCAGAGAATGTCGGGCTCGATCAAATTTTTTTTATTATTACAAAGATGGTACCAAAATAGAAGAAGGGTTAATATAGTCATTTACCATTTAAGGCTAGTTTAGGTATTTCATTTATTTATTTACCTTTTATTTAATGAAGGGTCATTTGAACAAAAAACTTTTTGAGTGGGTCATTTAAATAAAATAATGCTTTGACCATCCCTCTTAAATAAAGCTCCTAAAGAATGAGGCTGCCGTTTCTATCCTCAAATGGTCTCATAAATTCCACTCTTTGGGCCAAAAATATTCTAACTCAATTTGGGCCAAATAGATTTCAATGGAAAATTGGGTCTGGAGCTAATTAATCAATTGGGCTGAGAATAAATTAAAAGGGCTGGAATTTAATAGCACATATAGGTAAAAAATAATTCGACTTGAGCCAAAACAAAATTATCCGAAAGGACCGAAAATATTTCCGATAAATTGGGCCGATAGAATAACGCGATAACAAGGTCTTCCGATCGATACGATTAAACAATTGGCGATGGACAATAATAAAATAGCGCGACTTATTAAATCAATTAGACGAGAACATCCAATCCAATTAAAATAACAAGACTAACCGAAAATATCGAGCAATATTACAATATAGACAATTAATTCAAATAATAAAAATATAATATTGAGAAAATTAATTCAAATAATAAAAATATAATATTGAGAAAATTCTAATAAACAAACGGGGCGTTACTATCTATCTTTCTTAAAAGATTTCCGTCCTCGAAAATACTAAAGAACATGCGTCCTAAGGAAAACGACAGGCTCAACTAGAATTTCCAATCATGAGGTCTGGGTATCCCTTCCGGAACTCGATTCCGCTCGCATGAGTCCTATCGCACTATACTCGAAAGGCATACACTCATATACAGGATCCAATCCGACTCGCCCTATGCTCATATGTTCACCTTTTTGCATTGGAGGGTGATCAATCCTGCCCGAGCTCAGGTGCACATCCTCTTGCAAGGGACCCATTCCGGCTTGGCCTATACCCATGAGTATCAACAATTTGCTTCGTACCTAACAACACATAAGACCTCAACAGGTCGTTCGGTGTATTGCTGGCGTACTCCGACTGCTTCGTACCAAACCCCATTATGCTCATACTCTCAAGATATCGACTCCACGAGTCGAACGTAGCCCTTATGCACAACATAAGGCTCCGTCCAATAGCAACACGAACTTCCCTATTTGCCGACTCGAGAAACTCTCGGGTAAGGCATAGGGATCTCATCGACCACACTCCTTAATCGAAAGGAGGATTCATACACATCTTAGTGGAACTTGGAGCTCTCGGTTTAAAGCTCAAAATAAAGGGTTTAAAATGTTTAACCAAATAGTCCAGCAGGAAACGGGTCGAATAGTTAAGTAAAGAAATCGATAGTTCGGGGTTA